TAAAAATAAAAACATACTTAACACATTTTACACATTGTAAATAACGAACTCTTTAACAAGACATACAAAACTTCAGCAAAAATTGTATTCATAATATAAGTAGGGCATACTTATGTTGAATAAGAGGTTCTTATCATATCTTTTCTTATCATCAAAATTTTCGCTGTTATTTTTAGCGTGCTCAAATGTAGAATTTACCCAAGGGATTTAGGAATTCCAAGAAGAACTTACCTCTACGGTAACAGCCTCGCCACTGTTTCGTATCAACTCGATGATGATCTCCCGTGACAGATCGCCCACGGGCGTTCCGTTCACCTTGATAAGGCGATCGCCGGGCAGCAGACCAGTAGCTCCACCACCAGCACCTGGCTCGGCGAAAATCACCGGCCTGAAAATGGGTGAAGTCAGCGACTCTGTTCTGTCCAAGCAAATGGCCTTGCGCAGGCTGAAGCCAAAGTCCTGGCGCGGCGACTTCTGGCGCCTGATCACCAGCTGTCTGGGTGGCGGAAGTTTTACCAGCTGCACCGGCGGCAATGGCAGCTCCACATCCTCAAACGCATGGACGCGGGCCCACCGGTCAATGCCCTGCGACTCGCCAACGGGACTCAGCGAGAAGGGGGGTGTGGCGAACGAGGAGTTTGTGGTATCTGTGAGACTGTCAGCGCTGGGCGACGGCGAGGTAAGCACATGGAGGTGGGATCCCTGGCTGCTGGCCTGGGGCGCGGCTCCGTAGCGGGCGTTGGCCGGCAGGGTCATGGCCCTCTGCTGACCACCTGGCTGTTCTCCGTCGCTACGCAGGCTCTCCACAGAGGTGAAAGAGGTACCATGCTGGCTGGAGTTGGAGCCAATCGAACCAGCTCCCCTGCCGGCTCCCTCGTAGAGCGACTCATTCTGGAAGGTGTTCCGCAAGAGCATCTCTGGAGTGCCACCAGTTCCACCGGTCACTCCCGCAAAGCTGATCTCCTCGTGCACATTAGTCATGTTGCTGCGGGAGCCTTTTAAGATACCACGCTTTGGCGGTTTTGGTGGTATAGGCGGCAGGAAGCGATTCTGAAACGGAGAGGAAGATGGATTTAGTCGGATAACGGATAAGATAAGGCAAATAAACTTACCTTAAGCCCACCGGCGAGCAGGGAATGTGTGACCTCGCTGTAGTTGACACTCACGCCCGCGCCGTTGGAGGTTCGGCTCTCGATGTGCGTCATCACAGATGCTACAATCTCCTCATTGCCACGATCCTGTTCGGGATCTGCAGCTCCCGCTGCTCCCCCGTTGCTGCCGCCATTCGCGTCCGCATTGAGGGCGGCAAAGAAGTCCGCACTGTAGTCCGCCGTGATTCCGCTGGGCAGTTTCTCTTTCTCCTTGCGCCGCCCTCGAATTTTGAGCGACCGGCGCACCTCGTCCAAGCGGAGTAGTTCGTCGGTGCTCATGCTCCCGGTGACGCCCGTGACGACTCCCATTCCCGAGCCACCAGTGGTGCCCTTAGCCTCTTTGCGCAGCTTCTTCTCCCGCTTGCGGCGCTCCTTCTCCTCGTCGCCGGCGCTCTTTTTCATGAAGTTGAACATCTTGTGTGGCGTGTGGTGTTTGGGGTCCTTAGGTGCTATCTGCGATGTGGGGGTGTTAGTGGGTTAATGCTAAGTTCAAGGGCGTGACCAAATGTCTGGACTAATTCGATTTGCACTGTTCTCTCTCTATCCTGCTCTTTGCCCAGGGGCGGATCTGGCTAAAATTGGATGGTTTTTTCTTTTGAGGGGAAACTGATTTTGTGCAGATACGGATATAATTTTAAATTAAAAAAAAAAAAATTACTAATAAAGAGTCAAATTTTTAATTCTAATATAGAACTATATCTTTAAGTATTCAGTGTAACTAAAACCAAAATGAAACATTGTCGAACATTACAAAACCTGTTCTTTTTTGTTTTGCTATTATCATTTAAGAGGGACACTTTGATATCCCCACCTGGATCCGCCCCTGACCTTCTGCCCTCTCTCTACCTATGGCCATCCTGCTCTCACGCACAAACAGCCCTGTCGAGCAATGCACCCGCCCGCACAACAACAGTTATCTTGCAGCCATGTAGTATGTATGTGTCAATGTGCACATTTGCAAATCACATAAACAATGGCATATTTTCTACACTTTAGCAGCCACATTTCTTGTGCTGCGGTGGCGGCTTTGCTTTTGTCATTGAGTCGTTGCCATTTGCCCTGTTTCTGTTATTATTTATTATTCAATTATGCGCTTTCTTTTCCACAGCCGCACACATTTGTTTTGTTTTCACACGCACACACACATGAACAGAAAAGGGGCTCGTGACTGTGTTAGTATTGATTTCCATTTCCATATTCATTTCTCCTCCTAATTGAATGCACATGCACTCGATTCTGCCTCATACTCATGCCATTCAAGCTGCTCTTATTCGGCAAATGCTCAGCCACAGCCCATTGTGATAGACACGAAAGGCAGAAAAAGAAAGTTGCCAGTCAATAACACCTTTGTTTTTGCACTTTTCTACGCTTTTTTTGATAAAACAGGAGTTGGAAATTGTTTATTCGGTAGTGACAGGCGGCATTCTTCCTACCGATCGGATTACATGTTCGTTACCTTTTTATTTGCCACTGGGGCACTTTTCTCGCTACTTTTTTCTGCTTTTTTCGGCTCAAAGACTTCGCGTTCTGCATAAACAAATCTGAGCAGTGCGCCCGATGGTTTCGACGCTCAGATTACCAAAACGCGTCGTCAAATGTTGCTGACAGACGTATGTATTTTCCATCGCCCATAATCCGGTCACACTGAACACCGTCACAAAAAGGTTAAAAGCATTACTATATGTTTAGCACATGCTCAAACCATAAACAGGGCCGGCATCTTTTAAGGGCGCTAAAGTCATCGATAGCTTTTAGAAAGTGCTGTAAGGTGCCAGAATAATAACCAATTTAAGTTTTAAATAATAATGAATCATATGCACCTTCAATTTGTACAGAAACTTTTTTTTTTAATTTAGCCTGCAAATACAGATTTTTTTAGCTAAACTATTATTTACGAAATTTTAATAATATTAAAAAAAGCCTATTATTTACTTTAAATCCATCTCATACATTCACTGTTTTCTGAATGCAGCTCCTTCTAAAAAAAAACTTATCCCGGCGTTTATCTGCCTTTTGAAATTTTAAAAATTCAAATTCAATGCATATAATATGGACAAACACAAATTTTTAATTAAAACGTATTACTTTCTATTAACTAAATTAAACAAAATATGTGTTCTTTAATTAAATACTTATTTAAACGATATATTTTTACAGCCCTAAAACATAGTGGCTGTCAGGCAGTACTACCTCGTGACTTTCGGCAAGACTATCGCACAACCTGGTGGCAACGCAGCTCAAACTATCTACCGAGCCAGTTATCGAAAAAAAAGTGAAGCGTAAAAACTAAACGGTACATGGAAAATTTATTTTGCCTGTGTGCGTGCTTGTGTTTATGAAAAATAGATTATTTAGCAATTGCAATTGTTGCAGCGTCGCGTTGGAAGGTCAAAAACAGCCAGTGGAAACGTCCGGGTGGCGTTTAGAGACTGAACCTGCGTGTGTTTTCCAGTGCGCGAGTGTGTGTGTTCCGTTCCGTCCTCTGGTGTCTGGCACCTTAACCCAACAACAACAACAGCAAGCAGCAACAACACACGCACAATAATAAGGCCCGTGACGTTGTCGCTGCTGTCACCATCAAAAGACAAAAGACCAAAGCGAGCAGAAAAACAAATAGCAATAGTAACGAAAGCAAAAGTCGCGTTCTTTTCCAAAACTAGGTGGGTTTTTTTAGTTTTACCACTTCTATCTCCACCATTTCCACGAAGTGATTTGACATGTTGCGCTGCTAGGTCGCCGCTGCCCACACACACACTAACTCACTTACACCCACACGGCCAGACACTCGCAGACACAAACACACACACACATACACCTTTGTGGCAGACACGCGTACTGTCTGTCTCCCTCCCCCTCGCACCCACAGTCTGGCCTCGCACTTTGCATTGCAGCCATGTCTGTGTGACGGGCTCTGTGTGCGTGTGCTCGCGCGTCTGTGTTTGTATTTTGTCGATTTTTATTTTATGTACATTTGTTTACAGTTTTAGATAGATAGCGAAATTTGTACAGCCGGCCGCCATCCGTCGTTGACATTTTCGCAAATTGTAAATGAATATGCTTTTGCAGCTGAGCGAGTGTGAGTGCGAGGCGAGTGCTGCCTATATGTCGTCTATACACATATACACATGCATAAGTTCATGAACAGTCGCCGCCGTCGACTTGTTTTGATTTAATTTCGCGCTAAATGCAATCGCGAACAATTTTCGCTCGTATCGCTCGCGCTGCGTAACATGGCGGGGAATTTCGTTTGAAGCCGAAAGTGCCAGTGCCAGTGCCAGCAACAACAAGGGGACGATGGCGCCTACATCTGCATGTGGGCCAGTGACTAAGAATCCAATACCCCATCCAATCGGATTCAATCCCATACAATCCAATCCATTTCTGCCAGCGGAAATGCCGCGAATGTTTTTTGCAGCAGATGCTGACGCAGGCGCCTACTGCATTTGTCATAAACATGCAAAATGACAATAACAATTGTGTACTACCAGCGTGAGATAAGCGATTTTGAGGGGATCTAGCTGGTTATAGTTGACCCCCTTTTAAGGTTTGATTTCACACTTCAAGGGTACATCTTTTGTACCTCTTTCTTAATGAAATTAAGGGGGATGTACTTTGCCCTGCTTCTTGTACCTGTCTTCCCCACCTAAATGTTTTTTGAATATTCTCGAAACCCCATCAATTTCCTTATTTCGAACTAACAGGTTCGATAAATCCTATTTCACCTAATTGATAAAATGAAATAATTTTAGTGATCTTAAGGTTTGGAACCTTCAGGCACCCTATTCGAATGTGTTTTTATTAACTCAATTAAATGATCCTCTTGCAGGCACCCATTCGCTTGTCCCTAGGGTTTTGAAAACAGCCTCAACACGAATTACCTACCGTTTGCCCTGCAGCGGCGATCGACTGTGGTTGCCAGCGCCCCAGCGCCAGGATCTGCCTCTAGGATCCCGGAGTCGCCCAGCACCAACATCAGCAGCAGCATCAACATCAACAATAGCAACAGCCAATCCAGCAGCAACAGCCAGATTAGCGGCAGTGGAGACAGTCTCAGCTGGCGGCAGCAATCCTGGCTAGACAGGAACCCCTTGGCCACCTCAGACGTAACCGGAACCATGTCGATGAACACCACCTTCGACTCGGCCAGCCTGCCCAGCATGAGCATGGACCACTCGCTGACGGAAAAATCGCAGTTGGTCAAGGAGGGCTGGCTGATGAAGCGGGGCGAGCACATCAAGACCTGGCGACAGCGCTACTTTTGCCTCCACTCCGACGGTCGTTTGACGGGCTATCGCAGCAAGCCGGCGGACAGCACCAGCACAACTTCGGATTCGCTGCTCAACAACTTCACGGTGCGCGGCTGCCAGATCATGACCGTGGATCGACCTAAACCCTTCACCTTCATCATTCGCGGCCTGCAGTGGACTACGGTCATCGAGCGCACATTCGCCGTGGACACGGAACTGGAGCGCCAGGCCTGGACAGAGGCCATCCGCAACGTGTCCAGCCGACTCATTGATGTGGGCGAGGTGGCCATGTCGCCGTCGGTGCAGACAGACATGACCGACGTGGACATGGCCGGAATCGCCGAGGTGGAGCTCTCTGAGCAGTTCTCTGTCAAGGGAACCACCTGCAACAGCAGCGGCGTTAAGAAAGTGGTAAGTACTGGGCTAGTCGGTCACTGGTCAAGGTCGTGATCGAACTAACGTCTTATCTCGTTGCAGACTTTAGAGAATTTTGAGTTCCTAAAGGTGCTCGGCAAGGGCACATTCGGTAAGGTTATCTTGTGCCGCGAGAAGGCCACCGCCAAGCTGTATGCGATCAAAATTCTCAAAAAGGAGGTCATCATCCAGAAGGACGAGGTGGCCCACACCCTGACCGAAAGTCGTGTGCTCAAGTCCACAAATCACCCGTTCCTCATTGTGAGTAGTCAACATCACTTAGCTTTTACCTTTAAAGGCTTAACTAGTTATAATTTATTGTAAACGGATAAAATTGCATATGTTGCGTATTTTCATTTATTTAATTCAAGAACTTCACAAATCAAAAGAATACTATCTTAATCAAACTTGTTTTTGTTCTCTTGCAGTCACTTAAATATTCTTTTCAAACCAACGACCGCCTGTGCTTTGTGATGCAGTACGTGAACGGGGGCGAGCTCTTCTGGCATTTGAGCCACGAACGCATCTTCACAGAGGACCGCACCCGCTTTTACGGCGCAGAGATAATTTCGGCCCTTGGCTATCTGCACTCACAGGGCATCATCTACCGCGACTTGAAGCTGGAGAATCTTTTGCTGGACAAAGATGGCCACATCAAGGTCGCCGACTTCGGTCTGTGCAAGGAGGACATCACCTATGGCCGCACGACGAAAACCTTCTGCGGCACACCGGAATATCTAGCTCCGGAAGTATTAGACGACAATGACTATGGCCAGGCGGTTGACTGGTGGGGCACCGGCGTGGTTATGTATGAGATGGTAAGCCATTGCAGTAAATCTAAAGATGGGCTTGATATTAAACAATATTCTTTGACAGATCTGTGGTCGACTTCCCTTTTACAATCGTGATCATGATGTGCTCTTCACATTGATTTTGGTGGAGGAAGTCAAGTTCCCACCCAAAATTACAGATGAGGCGAAAAATCTGCTGGCAGGCCTGCTAGCCAAGGATCCCAAAAAGCGCTTAGGCGGTGGCAAGGATGATGTCAACGAGATAAAAGCTCATCCCTTCTTTGCGAGTATTAACTGGACAGATCTGGTGCTGAAAAAGGTGTGTGTTCAAAGGATTTCTGAATGAATGCCTAATTTCTAAAACTTGTGTCCATAGATTACGCCGCCTTTCAAGCCTCAGGTCACTTCCGATACGGATACGAGGTACTTCGACAAAGAGTTTACGGGAGAGAGTGTGGAGCTTACGCCGCCGGATCCCACCGGACCGTTAGGCTCCATAGCCGAAGAGCCGCTTTTCCCGCAGGTAAGTGTTTCTTGGGATCATTTTAAGTGGTTCGTCGTTTGCTCATCCAATTTTTTGATTTCGCCACCACAGTTCAGCTACCAAGGGGACATGGCCTCCACGTTGGGCACCTCGTCGCACATTAGTACTTCCACAAGTCTCGCATCGATGCAATAGAACAAGTTTACAAACTTTTACAAGCACACATCATGTTCTGCTTCATCACCTATTACTATACAATACCTATAACATATAGAAATGGGAAAAAGAAAACAAAAAGCAAGAATATATTAAAAAATAATTATACCATGATAACGAAGGCATGCAAAGGGTTTTCTTGCTAGTTTATATACACCAATAACAAGAGAATTCAATTGATAGTAACTTATTTTTTTATAAAGAAAAAGGGAACGTTAAACGAAAGGGAAGCAGCTGACGCCGAGGAAAATAATTTACTACATATGATTATACATATTAATTTATATATATATATATATATATACAAATATATATATACACATACTTATATATACATATAAATATAACACTTGGGGCTGTTCGCTCGAAGTGATTAGTTAATTTTAAACGCAAGTAAAACATTTAACCAAGCGGCACAGAGACGGTGCGTTTTAGCAGTAGGAGAATGGCATGCCTGTTAGAATCTGTTAAGCAAACGCTTCGTCTTAGGGCCGCTTAAGCTGATTGATTATACAGACTATTCACGCAGACAGCACTCACACACAGACACTTAGCATATAGCAAACACGAAGTTAAGTTAACGGAACAGCAACAAATCGAAATACACATACTATACCCCGCCCCCACATGGAACACTCGTATACATTACATTACATTATTTATACTCCAAAGAAGCAAAGAGAAAAAAAACAAATACGAGTTATATGTTAAGAATGCCTCTTATGTGCTGTGCTTTATGCAAAACTACAACAACAGAAACAAACTAATAGTTAATAAACGACCGAACCTTACATCAATGCAGTTTATAGGCGCCAATAATTAGCAAACAACTAAAAGTTATATTCAGGCAGAAAAATATTTCGAAAACAATAACAACAAAATAATTACAATTGACGCCATTTTTATTATAATTTTTTACAAAAAATATATTTGTACATATTTATAAAAAAAAGCAAAAACTTTTTAAGTGAAAAAAAGTATCTGGTGGAATATTAATGTCTCCGTTTTGAGGCCTCATAAAAGGTTTAACCTTTGACACAAGAAAAAAATTTTAACTTTGTCATTTAGTTTTTGGTTTGAAAAGTTCATAACAAGTTTTGTATACTTAGAGCAAGTCAGGCAAAAAATTTATATAAATCAACCACAACAGACTTAAATATAGTTCCACAAGGAAGATAAATTATATAAAACAGAAAAACTTTAAAAAAAAGAAAAGAATTTTTGATATTTTTATATGCGCAATAAAAACACAAATCAAGAAAATACAAAAAAAAAAAAAAACAAACAAAAAAGTTATTTTATATTTCAAAAAGAAACGCAAAATAAATTTTGTAAATAAAAAATTAAGCAAAATCACGTTCTGGCATTTCAACTGAAAACAAAGAAATGAAAGCATAATCTCTCTTCTAAATGATAAACAAAACCTATCAATCGATGAACACAATAAACAGCAAATTAGAAACGAAGCGATAACGAAACGATACAAATGCCAAAGAAACGGCAGAGTTAGGAGGAACTCGAAGAGAACCGACAGTTAACAGCCAGTCGGGCTAGTTCGGTAAGAGTCTTGGACTGGTTGATGGTTCCAAATCATGACTGGGAACGAACTAACTAGCTTAAGCAGCTTAAGCCAACGAAAGATATCAGATAGCTTCGATTTAACCAATCACTATATCTTTGAACAGCTTGGAGGGTCTTGCTTTCTGCTGCCCAAGCTTGCGGCTGACGTCTAGGCTAGCCAATATCAATCTCAGATCGATCAAGCAATACATAGACAAAATATAGAACCCCCTAAGCATGGCTTACTAGGCATACAACCCGAGAACGACTGTAAACGACGAGTCCCTAGCAACACTTCGATAGACTCGTTAGGCAAAAAGTTAGACCGAATAAGGGGAACCAGCTAGAAAACATTTAGGAAACTGAATACTAGCGTGACCATCTCTAGTATCCCAAATCGAAGCATTTTTCCCTCGCCGACGGGCGGGAAGAAATCTATTAAAATAGTTGTCTAAGTTAATAGATTTTTGTAAGACAGTTTTGATTTCAATATCTTAACATACACTCACGAACTGCGAACTACAATGTGTTCTAAAGCAAAATAATAAAACAAAATGGTTTAAAAGATGACTATATATAGACAGAAACCGAGAGAGATATATCCAGTCAGATCGTAGATCAAGTCGAGCAACTTGAGTTGTTTTTGTATTGTAGAAAGAAACACATAGACCCTGTTCCCACATCCTACATACATCCAGATCCAGATCCAATAATAACCTAATATCTGATTAGGTGTAATTTTTTATAGGCGAAACTGCGGATTTCGCACAGTTTTAATTATTAATAATACTAAATAATGATAATAATGATTAAGCTGATTTATAAATCGATTCAAGATCGAGCAAAAACCCAACATATACAGCACTATGTATATTCAAAGAGGACTAACATCAACTGAGCAGCAACCATGTAGATAATGTACTATCTGCATAAGTACTATAATGATTACGATTAATTTATACGCGCTTACGCATACCAACATGCATACATTATGAGAAATATATATATATATATATACAGGATATATATAAAATATAAGATGTGTATGTATCTTATACATGCATTCAAACCAAGTTTATTATACTGTGAAAACATAATAATAAAAGTAAATAAAAATAAATTAAATATAACGAAGTTTTTTTGGAGGGCGTTGGAAGTAATTGGAATTTTAGACTTATAATAAATTGCATTTGATAATACCTTTTCTGTTTATTTATCTTGTGTTATCTTTTGGTATCTTAACTACTTTAAAATTATTCTAGTTCCTAGCTTAACAGTTTAAATGTTAAGCTTCTTTTCAGATTACACAACTCGTGCGGAAAACTCTCCACAATAAGAATTCTTTTCACCTCTTCTTACGGAAAAAAAATTGGGTCAGGAAAACTATGCGAAAACGAGGGACCATCTGAGTTGGATGTGGAAATGGAGGAAGCATAAAAAACCCACTGGACAAGCGCCAATGACCGACTTAAATATTCGGGAGCAGCAGCTGGAGACCGAGGAGTGGGCAGTTCTAGACGCGAGTGGTGCGTGACAGGCCCCGGCTTCGGGTTCGACTTCGACTACCACCTCCCAAACCCACCGCCCATCGTCGCCCAAGTTTCCCGATCCCATCGCCAGTACTGGGGAACGCGAACAATGCGTTTTGTCCGATGATTAATTGCAACGCAATCTTGGAGGCCACAGAGTCGCCGCCGCTGTGATGGCAGCTTTCCCCCAACCTCGAGTACATACGGTACGGTATGGGTATACTGTAGTATGTGTTTGCGAATGTGTGTCGCTATAGCCGGCGGATGTAAGCGCGTATTTAGCGCGACACAAAGCTATTAATTTTTAGCAACTGCGCCCAACAAAATAGCCGAGACAAAGCGATGAAATTAAATTTCGAACGCAACGAAAGCGAAAGTGAATCAAAGTGAATCATATTGGACTTGAGATGGGTTTTATGGGCTGGGTTTGGTTCGTGTCGAGGTTGTTTCTGGGCTGGGCTTGTTTAGTTGCATCCTTGGGCCAATACTGGCTGCATTGGCTTGTGACAAGCCCTAAGTGCTTAGGAAAAGTGCGATTTGTACTTTCCCTTTTCGGAGCTGTCCAAGCCAAGTTGAGCTAAACTGAGCCGAGGTGGAGAGCTTATGACGGATAAGTCGACAAATGAAATGGCAAACACCGAAACCAAATGAAAGCCAGTGATTTTAAATAGTTGCATCGAATCATAGATGCCCTTGGGAAAACTTCAAACTTGAAATTAGACTATATACGTATATCAAAAATTGTTTGGCCAAAGGCCTTAGATATTAGGCCTTAGTAATCAGAGATCTTTATAAGACTAGGATAAATCAAGGTTGTTTTTTAACTTTTATGTTGATGTATTAATTTATTTTTCATTTTGGTACCTTTTACCATTATTGTGAAGATGTTTCTTATTAAGAACATTGTTTGAACAATATTTCAAAAAGGTTATTAAAGTTTAGGCTAACATTATATATAATATATAAAATTAGATAATATGAAATCTAAGGCTTAAAAAAACTTGTATATTATTTAAAAAATGTATTAACTCAAAATACTCTAAACTTACCTTTAAGATACCAAAAACAAACGCTAATGAAAGACAAGTGCAGTTGGGAAATCGGGTACGTTTTCGAAAATGTGTACTGAAACCATCAGTGCCTCAGTGTTTTCTCATCAACTTAATACCCTCTCGTCCCTGCAAAGTGTGTTGGCTAGAGGGAAGCGGCTCGTTTGCTTTGTTCGCTACGCGCGTTTTTCGCGCTTTTCATTTGCCAAACGATTTTTCTATTTTCACCTCAAGCTCTCGGGGCTCTCTTTGCTTTATAGTAATGTGAAAATTTCTGAAACTAGAAAAATAACAAACAACTATTTGTTGTTGCTGTTGGGCAGCAGCAGCATCAGCAGCAGCATCAGCACCATCAGCAGCATCAGCGGCAGCATCATCAGCCTCGGCTGGCAACGTGAGTATGTGCTGGCACTTAACAACTCCAGCTCGGAGTCTAGGAAAAGCGGAGAAGAAAAGTGAAATACATCAAGGCACGTCACATCCATCAGACATTTATGAGCAGCACAGAGCACGCCCCACTCCAGAGCGGATCAGGTCTTGGACCAAGACCAATACCAAGACCATGTCCACCGAAAACAGGCTTCCAGCCATGGCCAAGCTGGCCCAAAGCCCAGCCAAAGCGTGGCTAATGAATTGGGATTGGGATTGGGATTGTTCAGGGATCGGGGGGAGGATGTGCCGAGGAGAGAAGGGGAGAGGAGGGGAGGCCCTGGCCTAAGTGTCGTCTGGCTGCAATCGAAATTAATGAAAAACTTTCGTTTATTTAATTGCACAGCCGCTTAGACCAGGCAGAAGATGGCCCAGAAGTAGGGGGCAGGCTTATGGGTTATGGCCATATCAAATCCATAGGGCAAGACTAGCTGGCTGGATCCAACTCAATCCAGCAACGACTTCGCCATCGCCATCGCCATCGACATCTGAGTGAAAATGATTGATTGATTGATCGGCGTTTGTCTGTTTGTTTGTTGTTAATATTATTTGCCGCTTGTAGTTTATATAGCAATCGGCGCTGTCAGTATTTGGCTGTTGTTACTCCTTTTTGGTGTAGCCAAAGATTTGTTTGACTTTTTAGCGGGTAATTATTTATTTGTTTCGCGCATTATTCGCCGATTTCGCTGCAATTTTCGTTTGTTCGCTTTTAAGGGGATCGGTACATACATCGGACAATCGTTGATTGAGGCTGATTGAGATGGGGTAGCCCGGCGTTAGCCCGGCATTCAATCCGTCCAATCGAACGGGGAATTGATGGCTCTCCAATCCGGCGGCTAATTGCTGCCGGAGTGGGGGAAAGTGTGGCGACAAGTGATCCACTTTTTTTCGAGATGAGTTATGTGTGATCCGCTAATGATCAACTAATGGCCTAACGATGAACTACTTTGCCATTCGTCTGTAGATTATCACTTAGAT